ATGGATGAGCCTCACCCTGGGAAAACCACCTTCATGATCATGGTATCTCCCCTGCCAGGTAAGTATGAGATGGGAGGGCACGGCTGCCTCCATGCCCCTCCTCGCCTCTGCCCCCAACCCCATGGTGACCACAGCTCAGCACCTTCCAGTCCTCCAGAGCAGGCATAATCACAATGTAATCATACAGCAGACTTGCTGAATGGGATCCAAGAAGGAAATCCAACCTCCGCCCCCATCCTCAGCCTCCCCAGTTTGCTACCACAATGCTGTGCGGCAGCTAATCTGCATATATGCCTATGCGCATTAGCCTTGCTTGGTCTCCTGTCTGAGCTGCCAGGCAGCAGGAGCAATGCCTTTCTTCTCAGTCCACGGATGGCTTGTATCGTTTACTTTTTTAACCTTTTGGATGCGTGTTTTTTAAAAAAGGTTTGGGTGGAAGAAATGACCTCCCTGCACATTCAAAGGCTATTTTATATTTTGGTGAAATTTTATCAGAAGCTCCAGTCGATACTGAGGACCATCCACTATTTCTTTGTTACGGCTTAAAATACACACTTTGTCTTTGCAGAATGGACTATTTTAGGAAAGCTTTTTATATCTGTTGGTCTCTATCTTGCTCTTATCTACTGTAAATCACTTAAAGAACCAATGATTGCTCTGGTGTAGTTGAGAAAGTGGCACATCAGGGAAAGATTAAAAACTGCATTTCTTTTGACTTCTCCTTCCTTTCATAAATGGACACCTGAGGCTGACGGCTGGAACTTCCACACCTGATGATGGAGCTGAAGGACAGAGGGGACAAAAGAGGGAGGGGGATAAGCCTGTGTCTCCATGTTGATTCTCTAATGTTATCACTCAACAAATTGCCATGGAGAGGAAAACTTATGGCACAGTTGTTGACCTGTTGTATTTTCCAGTCTGCGATGGGCAGCAATTATGGGTCCTGAAATGTATGTAAGAACTTTAGCCTGGTGCACGTATGGAGTGAGATCTTCTGCAATAAAATTACTCTATCTTTGGCTGTTTGGGGAAGAAACTACTTCAATAGAATTCAGTTACAGAACTCCAATATATTGGATGGTTGATCCACATTTTGTCCTACAAATCATCTCCCATTTCTTCCTCTTATTCTTCCTGTCTCCATTTATCTCTGCTTTGGGTTATCTTATCCTATGTCAAGTTGTCTACCTTCATTTAAGATATTCCTGTGTGGCTCTTGAAAAATTTCCTCTTTTTTTTTTTTTTGAGATTATATACCCATCAGAATAGAGACCTGTCTTTTTGGGTTCTTTAAGATACATGTGCATTAATGATGAAACTGAAAGAACATCATTCCTGAAAGTAAACATAGAATTTGGAGTCTTACCTTCACCACCATTCTGTTGAATAGAATCTGTTAGTTAAAAGCTGCAGCGCTTCCACTGACCAGCTTACTCAGAATTATATTTCTTGGTGTTTTCACCACACCCCCAGATTGACCAATCTACTCTGCAAGCTTTGGAGAACAGACAAGAGCTCAGCAGTCCACCTATCCTGTTTCACAGAGGCATCCAAATCACCAGATTCCTGTGGCCATTTCACTGTGCTACCAGATCATCTTACCTGTCTGTGGCATAGGAGGATTCTCGCAGGTGAAGGTCTTGGCTTGGGCCTTGATGGAGATGCCCTGGGGAAGGTGCAACAGAAATGGATTCTGAAAATACAAAAGGAGACTCAAATTAGCGTTACCTCCCAGTTCCTAAACAGGTGGCAAGTTTAATTCAGTATTTCTGTAATTGTTTTCTACCCAACAACATAGTCCTTTACATAAAGGAAAAGAAAAAATCAGTCCATGTATGTAGTTCGCAGGAGATGGATAAAAAGAAACTGCCTATGCAAGCATCAACTGGGATCCAAAGAGAAAGAGTTGGGGTCATTCCTGCTTCACAGACTTATCCTAACAAAAGGTTTTTCTCTCACTGTTGTAACCTGAACGTGAAGGGTGGGAGTCACGCACAACCAAAAGCAGGATTTCCTAATACAGCGGCTACGCTCAAGGTGCAAAGTCAACGTGAAGCATTATGCTCAGAGTAGTATGCGCGTTCACCCCACCAAAGCCCACATGGCCATCCCGCATGTCTGTTATCAAACAGACAGTCTGAATCTTCAGTTGACAGAAGTTATAACGTGGGAACTATTCATCCAGGGAGGCTGTTTCTCCTGGGAAGTTTTCTTGCAGAGTCTGGACCTGTTCCCTACGGATGAGGATGGATTTCCTGCCCAGGGCCGTTGGGCTATTTATTTGTTGACCTATGTGTCACATTTAAACCCCACCTTTCCTCCAGGAGCTGAGGGGAAGGTTGGGCTGAGAGGGACCCCAGGCTCCCCCACAGAACGTCCGTGGCTGCTGCTGAATTTGAACCCGGGTTGCCCCAGTCCCGATCCAACACCTGAATCGTTACGGCAGCCGGGCTCTGAGGACGCAGCCTGCGAAAGCAGGGGAGGCTTCTTCCCGCAAGCACGGAAAACCGGAGGGGGAACCCCCGCTTTGCCTTTGCCCTACGTCCCAGGCGTGGAACCAGAAAGGGGTGGAAGTAACGGGGGAAAGCCCTACCTTACATTCTGTCGGCCCAGCCCAGGGTTGGCACGAGGACAAGGCTGGCGGTGGGCCGAGCTACCTGTGCCCCTCTGCCACCTTGGAGGGAAAGCTGAGGGGACGAACCCTCGCAGGTCCAAATGTAGGGATTGGTGGTTTCATAAATACGGCTATTTAGTTGAGTATTAATAAAATAATAATAATAACAATAACAATAACAATAATACTCAAAGCTGAGGGGACGAACCCTCGCAGATCCAAATGTAGGGATTGGTGGTTTCATAAATACGGCTATTTAGTTGAGTATTAATAATAATACAACAACAACAATAATACTCAAAGCTGAGGGAGGAACCCTCACAGATCCAAATTTAGGAACCCGGGGGTTCAGGCACGTAACGTTTGAGTAACAGCAGCGAGGCCCAGCGCCGAGGGGACGAACCTCGCAGGTCCAAATTCGGGGATCGGCGGCTTTGTACAGCCGAGGCTGCCGGC